CCGCGGCAATGTTGCCACATTTTCAATAATTTCTTATCGACCAAGAATTAGCAGCAAAAAAAATTGTGTAAGAAATGCAGAAAAAACAGGTCGAATTATCATGATTCTGCTTAAAAACGGTTCTKGTGTATTTAGTTCACTTTCACGCGARAAAACKACTTTTTGACTAAAAATKTTTTATTTGAAAAAAGCGCAAAACAATGTTGTCAAGTTTCTAAAATTTTCGAGAAACAGTTTGAATAACCACCATTTCAGAAAATTTCCAATGTTGGTTTAAAAATCGCAAATGAACTTAATTTTTGGCGTACAGTGTTGCCAGGTTTATCGCGAAAAACCACCGTTAGGACATTTTTGACAATGATTCGTTTGCTTTGGTCACTTTCAGAGGGATTCGATCTTCAAACTTAACTAGTTTCCCGCGGCAGTGTTGCCACATTTTCAATAATTCCCTACCGAAAGAGAATTACCAGCCAAAAAAAAACTTGTGTACAGAAAGGCAGGAAAAACAGGTCGAAACTATTTTCAGTAGTGCATTTTAATCGATGGAAACAGTGTTTCGATACAGCTACGTTCTGCGGTGTTGCACGCAGCGTTGTCAAGCTCCTACAATATCTTTGAAACACTTCGGATCGCAATTGATCCGAAAACATTGCAGTTCCAATAGGATAATCGTTAGTTAAAAAGACAACGTCGCATTGCTTTGCATTCTACTACTCTATTGGTGTTCGACGTTGTCATGTTTTCGAAAAACACATGCATTTTTCTTCATAGAAATGTTTTTGTTATCGTGGCAGTTTCGTTTTAAGTGCAACCAAATTTTGCAATTTGTATTAAATGAAGCGTTGTCAAATTTCTCAAACATCTTGCGAATTCGGAAAGGAAAATTTCTGAAAAAATTTCATTTGAGTGGATTTTTACTTAATAAAACTGGTAAACGCGATAAAAACCCGACGTTTTTTAACAAAAATATTTAAATTCAGATCTGAATTTTTCTGTACCTGATTTAGCGTTGTCAAATTTCAAAAAACCTTCTTTTCAACAATTCTCGAAACTGAAATTTAAAAATCTTGATTAGAGAAAACAGTTCAATGCTGGAAATATGATCGTTTTCGTTTCCCAAATTTACTTCGTTGCATGCGGTGTTGCCAAATTCCAAAAATTTGCCGGAAATAGTTTGAATGACAAACATTCCAGGAAATGTTGGTTTCAGAATCGCAACTTAACTTAATTTTTGGCGTAMAATGTTGCCAGGTTTATCGCAA